TGAAATTTTGATTTCCGAAGATTACACAAAATTTCGTAAAATAACGCAAAATTACGGTAATTTTCCATCCCTAGTTGTAACCCGGGTCAACGGGTCAAACAGAAATTCATAAAGTTTTTGAAATTAATCCTTAAAAGTTGATGTAACGACTCTTAATTAGAGTTGTTAGAATCTGTACTCCGAAAATTTAAACTGAAATTTTTTAGATTTTGTGTTGAAAATTTTTCAACCTTGCTCACGATTTGAGTTAGTTCATTTTCTACTTCGGAAATATATACCTGTCAAGAAGCTAACCCGTACAGATCGAACGATACGGTTAAGAGCTTTACTATTTATGTAGTATATAACTTATAATATTTTCTTATTCTTATATTAGGTAAATTGCGAAATATACAGTAGCATTATAGTAGGTTTTTGCGTGTTTTGAATTCTGACCCATTTGACCCGGGTTAGAGTAAATTTCAACCCGTAACCCGTTGAGTCGGGTGACCCATACGGGTCAACCAACCCGGGTAATAACTCTAAGATAGTTATTTGACATATTTTAAATCTAAAGATATAATTAAAATGAGTTACAGGCAATAATAATTATCTTAGTAATATTATGAAACTAATATAATATTTATAAATAAGCTTTTTGTAGTCTTATAGTTTAGTGTAGTTACAGAATCTTGTGTATAATAATAAATAAATAGTTTTCTAATTTTAATGCTTACAACCAGAGTTAAATTGACAGTACCATTATAAAATTTCTCTCTTGTTGTAACATTCTTAGTGTTAGTTGTATAAAGTGAACAAAAGGAAGCAAAAACCAAATTCATGCTATATTAAGAAAAAATTGGATAGATTAAGCAAAAAACCAGATTTATTTTGTGTTGATAGCTGTTTTCATAATTTCTGAAACACTTGATAAAAAATCTGCCGAATGATTTTTTGACCATTATTTCGACATAATAGATTCAATAAAATTCAAATTACAGTATATGTACGTACGTACGTACATAACTTTTACATTAATTAATGCAGTGGCACATAATTATTGATCTGCATTACAAAAATTTTGCCATTATTATTAGACTTTGTATGCCAGCTCTATAAAAGTTTTGGACAACGTTATTTACATAACAAAAATTACATATCAGAAATTTACATGCAAAAATTCCACTCTATATATCCCTAAATCCCTATACCGGTATATAAAAGACATGCATTTATATATGATACATTATAAATGTCATATTACTAAATTTTCATTTAAATACTTGCCCAACATGTTTAGTGCTGTAGTGTGTTTAGTCTGTGCGAAATCATATATATTTCAAATTATATACAATGTAATCTATATGTATATAACTTAACATAAATTGTAATTTATCGTTATGTATTGATCATGCCGAAATCACTTAACCGGATCGGCTGAAAAATCATTTAGCGATTTTTATCAGGTGTTTCAAAATTTATGAAAACAGCTGGAACTAAAAATAACTAATTGAGCAAAAGACGAATTCGTTTTGTGTTGAACTAAAAATAACTAATTGAGCAAAAACCGAATTCGTTTTGTGTTGAACTAAAAATAACTAAGGACAAAAACCGAATTCGCGTTGTGTTGAATCAAAAATCTGTGTTTAATTATTTCAGCTACGATCGAGGCTGAAATATCAGAAGATAAAAATAGAGGAGATAATCGAACGAATAAATAAACAAAGTCACATGCTATCGCAAAAAAAGTAATCGGTTGAAGGGTGGGATAATCGGTTAGACGCAAATCCTCTGATCGATATATCGATATTAGGTACGTACGGGGTACCAAGATTAGGATTAGGTTAGAATATTAGTATAGCGAACCCTGTATTAGTATCGGTATAAGTATTTAACCGGCTGCTCTGATTCTGAATCGGGACAGCCGGATTCCGAATCGGGCGGATTCCCATCCGGGGTACAGCTAATTGCTCTCCAAGTGCATAAAAAAATTGACTTTTAATTATTAACACTAAATGGTTCTTATGACTTAAATGCATATGCATCAAAAAGTCTCTGACGGATGGCATGCAATTACGTAGACAGTGTCGACTGTATATGCTATTATATATTCTTTTTTTTAATCCAAATTCCAATAATCAAGTTGGTATATTAAATTTTCAAAAAATTTATTTTTTAAATTTATTTTTTACAGCATAATTGTTAAAACTTGCTATCTTTTTAAAAAACATTAAGAAATAATCGCCAGATCCTGTTTTGTAATTATATCGAGATTTATTGTAAATAAAATAAATTTCTGAATCAATTATAGTAAGGTTGAACCCGTCCTGTAATTATTAAATCAGAATCCAAAGAAATAACTTTTACATCCTCCCCTTTTTTCTTGATTTTTCCTTGTAACATATAATCAAAAACGCTTTCTAACATTGCATTTGTCTCTCGAGGCTTAACTGAACTATCGATCGTACCAATAGTGACATGCGGCACTTTGTTCATGCTTTTAACAGATGGAGGTTCAATTTTCTTGACAACAAGTGCCATAATGCGTGAATCGAAAACTAGCTTATCAAAAAACACTTGCACCTGCGGAAGTTCTCCTTCGCACATCTCTTCGTATTCCTTCCACAATACTTTGCACTCTTTAGAGGAAAAATCCACAATATGAACAAGAGTAACATGATGTTCAGGTCTAAACCGGTTTTTTTGTGTTAATGTCATGAATGTTGTATGGTCCACATTTGGATGATCGTGAAAATATTTTCTCAAGAAATTATTAAAATCATAGTCAAACGCGATCCCATAATAACAAGGCCTAGGCTGTTTAGCGGAATTCTTTCGATTGGAACCTTTGCGATTAACAATTTTGCGTATGTTGGGTTTATAATTCATTGCAAGTTCGATAGCTGCATCAATGTGTGATTCGTCCGGCTTTTCTATACCAAGTATTGAACGCAATTCTTCGATAATAAATAGAAGATTGGTCCTAACGTCATTATTAATATCTAAATCAATGACATGATTAAAATAATGATCAACGCCATTATTGGAATCCAGAGGCTCAAACGTATCCAAAAACCCCCGAATAACACTTTTATATTGGGGGTTATCAGGAGTAAGCGACTGATGATTTTCTCCACGTAGTGCAACACGTTGTGAAGTTATTTGGAAGATCTCGTCAAGATTAGTACTATGATTACAATAAAGCGCGATAATACGAATATTTGGATCGTGATTCGTGATGAAATCTGTCAAAGTTTGGCGAAGTTGTCGAAGATGATTATTTCTAACGAATTAAAGCACAGTTTATTAGTTTGTACGATTGCGCAATTCAGAGAATAAAAATGACAAAACAATCGATATTTACCGATCTGCGATCACAACATCTTTGTTTTCAAATTCCTTTAAAATACTGTTGTGAAATTCTGAACGTGTGTTCTTAGCAGTTATATTATCATTTTGTATATGACCAAAGTTGAACAATGATGCAAGTGCGAGTGCAATCGTTGTTTTGCCTAAATAAAAAATCCGAGTTAAGGATGCTGTGTAACATAAATGCGACCGGAACGTGAAACTAGTTAATTTTGAGATAGGTTAGAAGAATGTCGAGGTCTCGTTGATCGCCTACTGTTCCCGACTCAGTTTGTAAGAGCCAAATATGATAACAGATATGATGTAACGGTAAATGCCATGATGTTCTTACTATGTCGATGGGTCGGCGATCACAAGGCCGCAACATTTTTCCGCCATGACTAATCTAGCTCACTTAATTGTCGACAATATCACATGACACCAACACTTTGTGACTTACCACATCCGATTGTCGCAACAGGTACTAACAAAGTTTTCCTAAACAGTTCGCGTCTTTCTGGTATATCTTGAGACATGCCTTCTTTATTCAAATGTTCTAAAAATAGATTTCTTACATGAATAATCCCATGATTATGTTGATATTCTTTGAAAAGATCTGGTTCTGTTCGAATTTTCTCTTTCGTCCAACTAATATAGTATTTACTGGTGGGATAAGTAAATCTAGGTTCTTTTTTATTTAAAAGAGTTTTGGTGATCTCCCTCCACTCACGATACATGAGATAAGGTTCTTCGTATTTGACTTTGAAGAAAAAATCTTGATCGGTATACTTTATCTTTGTTCGTACTACGAATCCCTCAATTGGTCTTCCATTTAATACACCATCTTGTTTAACCTTGTCGGTAAATTCTTTAACTTCGTTCGCGTTATTTTTGATATAATATATTATCGGGATAAAGCCCCATTCTTTTGCAAATTCACTGACATATTCACTAGGGCAAGTTTTCAAATCGGCAGTATTATAATTTAATCCATGCAGATATAGACCACTACGTTCAGAAGTATATGGCAACACGTGTTCCTCAAAAGAATCATCACAAAGCTATTAAATGGCATAGATGAAAGTTGTTAGAAAACAGACTAAATGAATTAATATAAATGTTTTAAAGATAGCATACTTCAGCTACTGCGGTTAATTTATTTGTGTATAAAAATCTTGCTAGATCTTGCTTGCTTTTTCCCACTTGATTCAAATGTTTGTCAAGCCATTCTTCGCCCTTCTGAGCATGTGCAATTACTACATTCTGAAGTTCACCCATTGAATGTTTACTGGTAACTAATATATTGTCATTGGGAAGTCCACCAATAAAAATGATACAACCATTTTCTTTTGCAGTAATTTCGTAAGGACTTTCTGTGTTTGCGATAATAGACTCCCACTAGATATAAGTTTATATATAAATAAGAATGTGTAACGATCATAAAGAAATCGGTCAATAATGATAATGAATATTTACTTTTGTTTTTTCTACTTCTCCAATATTGAAAAATTTATCATATCCACGGATAACAATTTCATATCGATGTTCATCCGTCTGTCTCGTGAACAGACCCCTAGCAGGAGTGAGAACTTCTCTTTTTTTGTAATCCCAATCATTCGTTTTCCATGATGAAATAGTTATCTCTGAAGGCTTATGTGTATATTCAGATCTTCTAATCGATGCTGCTTTTCGTTTTTTTCCTTTTTCTCTACATTTTTCATGTAATTTTTGAATAAGCTCATGAGCTGTTTGTAGATCTCGTTCTGTTACAGTGTATATTTGTTCAAGCTTTATTTTCTTTGCTTTCGAAAACTCAGTCATTTTTAATGACGATCGATTGAGTTTTTCGTGTTTAGATCAGACACGTATGTATGTAGATATATAATTTTTTTGTACAATCACATGATTTATGTTTTTCCTGTTTATTTATTATCGTTATAGTAAAGCCGATTTTTAATTAATAGCGATAGAACATCCCTGCACTGCGGATAACAATCCGCAGCTACAGAAGTCTACATCTGCGCAGTTCTGCTTGTTCGAATTAATAACAATAGCGACAATGGTATGTAAAATAATTATAGTTACGTATATATTTATTATAAATTGATACTATTTATCGTTAATGCGTATGTTGCCGCAGACTCTGCGTATTAAAAATTTTTTTAAAGTATATACGTACGTACGTACCATTTACTAGAATGGAATTCTGGAGACTCTATTGGGTAATGGTAGAATTGGTTATCTGTAATTGATTCTGCACAATTATATCTTTAGAAATAGTCCTGATTTAGATCACTAACGCTAATGCTAACGCTGATGGAACTAGGGATGGAAAATTACCGTAATTTTGCGTTATTTTACGAAATTTTGTGTAATCTTCGGAAATCAAAATTTCATGTA